TGTGGCTCAGTGGTAGAGCCCCTGCCTGGAATCCCTAGTGAGGGGCTGGGGGTGTGGCTCAGTGGTAGAGTGCTTGCCTAGCTTACCCAAGGCCCTGGTTTCCAACCCCAAACCCATAATTTACTTTTAATTTCTGTTTCACCTACACACACACCTGGCAATTCTGGTCTAAATCCTACGCAGCAAGTTTCACTGAGGGTGCACAATCCTCCCTCAGCAGTTTGCTTGGTGGTTATTTGGAGTTCCTCTGGCTCTGTGACCCCACGTCTGCTGTCTCTACCAAAAGGCTGGTCCTACGCCTGCCAAGGTCTGCCTTGCGCAGTGTGTGGTGCTCCATGGATGCTCTGGTCCTGGGAGAATTGCTTGCTCTCAGCAGAAGGGCTGCAGTGTTCTGGAGTCCCAGCCTCTGGGCCTCCTGGCCATCTGCTCTTCACGCCTCAGCAAGGCTGTTGACATCCACATCTCGTGGTCAATGGGTCATGAAGTAGCTTGATATCAGCAGCTGGGCTTGGCGACAGGATAAGCAAGTACATGGTGGTTGCCAGGAAGCCTAATCCTGACCTCGTCAGCCTCAGGGCTGCCTTCTGCGCCTTCGAGAAGACCTTGCCCCTGGGATCTTTGGAGACTCCAGGTTTGACTGAGCCTCAGGAGATTGGTTCTGTCCGTTAAAATCCTCGCACCCCGACAACGGGCTCTGCCAGATGTGAGTTCTGTTTTTATTGTTGTTGTTCTGCATTTTGAGTCCAGGTCCCAAGCAGCCCACGCTTGTCTCAGACTCGGTGTCTCGGAGGATGACCTTGAACAGATTCTGGTCCTACGCCCCCTACCTCCTCAATGCTAAGATTGCAGGTGGCAACACCATACCCCGCTTATGTAGAACCCAGGAAGTCACGCATACTAGGCGAGCACTCTACCCACTGAGCCACATTTCCACCCCTCCCCCCAATGGCAAATTTGAATTCACCAAATACTTGTCATATATACTGATCAGCTAATTAGTAGTTGAGTATTGCTGGACTTCATTGTGGGTATAAGAGCCCCCAAAACCTTCTTTCTCTCATTTAAACAGTGGGTGTTTTTATTTAAATGTAAAAAATGGGGGCACCTGGAGAAATAGCTCTGAAAAGCATCAAGCATTCTTAACTGCTTAACACCTTTCCAGCTCCCCAAATATTTATTTTACATTTGTGTGTGTGTGTGTGTGTGTGTGTGTGTGTGTGTGTGTGTGTGCATGGAGGGGTCAGAGGACACCTTTTGGGGGAGAAGTTTCTCTCCTTCCATCATGTGGGTCCTGGGAATCAAGCTCAGGTTATGAGGTGCAGAGGCAGATGCCTGTGACCACTGTACCATCTCTTCAGCCCTCCATTTAGATGGCATTTAAAGTTCCACTGGTCCCCCAGATTAGTTAATGGTGCTCACAGGAAATCAATTTGGGGACAAAGAGGAAGTGAGGGCCGTGCTCTGGCACTGGGGAAGCATGACGAGGGAGGGGGAAGGGAACCCTGCTGGGGACCCTCGCTGTGCCTTGCCTCTGTGGCTGGTTGAGTACACCTTGTTCTCTAGGTTGAGCAGGTAAGTGGGCTGGGAGTGTGGCTCAGTGGTAGAGCCCCTGCCTAGAATTCCCCAGTGAGGAGCTGGGGTGTGGCTCAGTGGTAGAGCCCCTGCCTAGAATCCCCCAGTGAGAAACTGGGGTGTGACTCAGTGGTGGAGCCCCTGCCTAGAATCCCCCAGTGAGGGGCTGGGGTTGAGGCTCTAGGGTATTTGCCTGGCATTCATAAAGCCCTAAGTTCAATACCAACACTGCACAATAATGGTGCCCCCATCTACTGATTTGATCATGAGATTACCATGAGTCTCTTCTCCTCCCTCCAAGTTCCAAAAAGCCATTCCCATCTCCAGGTTTCCAGTATAATGACCCCAGTCACCAACGGGACAGAGTTTGTGTGACAACAGCGTTATTTTTTATTATGAAGCATTTACTGGATTATACATAGGTCCATGGTATCCTGCCTGCCCAGTGCCCAGGACCCCTGAGGGAAGGCACCATCTCCACGGAAGGCCTGACTTACTGGTAGACATGTTCGCATGAGAAAAGCCAGCTGAGGACAGTGCCTCTTGCTTCCTCACTTCTGCCCATCTTGGGGCTTTTTCTCCAGGACCAGAAATTTGGGTAATAAGATTAATGAGGGGGGGTGGAGCATCAAGGGGACAGAGAAGAAGAGAGCCCAGCTGGTCACAGCAGGAACACGTCGAGCTGAAGTGAGGCTCAGGATGAGGTGGGTGGTGGCAGATGGCCAGGGTTGGAGAAGGGGACGTTGTACAGTGTGGGGTGACAATCACCGGTGCAGAGAAGGCTGGCTGGTTCTCGCCAGACTCGGGGTTTTTAAATGATTGTGAGGGCATGCAACCCAAGTGTGTGCTCAGGGAGTTGCCTTAGAAGTTACAGGTCTCCCTTAGGCTCCAGAACTTTCCACGGCAGCTACTTCCAACCTCAGTGCTTGAGGGTCACGTATTCCACATCTTCCTTTGCCTGAGGCCGCTTCCCAGCCCCAAACTGAACTAGCTCGGAGTAGTGGATGCCGTCATCCTCAGGATGGCTTGGTGTCACATTCTCATAGTCACTCTGCAAAACACATGAAGGTAAGCCAGGCGTCATGGTGACCAACCTCGGTCCATTCTCTTCAACGCCTTCTCCCGTTGGTTCCCCACCACACAGGGTCCAAATGTCCAAACGGGGTCATCTTGTCTACAAATGGCTACGCTTGGCCCCTTAGACACCTGTCTTGGCTCACACCCCAGCTCTCTGCCAGAACAAGTGCTGTAGTCTGAATGTGTCCCCTGAGTTTCCTGTGTCGGAAATGCACAGATTGTGGGATCTGTAGCAGGTGATTAAACTGATGGGTTAATAGATAATCAATGCAGAGACTTTTCTTAGGAAGTTGGTTTCTCTCTGACAAATGAATGTTTTGTGTTACCTCAGGACTCTGTCACTACCAGAAACAGCTCCTTTGATATTGGATTTCCAGAACCAACCATAAGTCAAAATAAATCTCTTTCCTTTGTAAACCACCAAGGGCATTCAGTTATAGCAATGGGAAATGGACTGGAGACAGCCACCCTTCCCAACTTCACTGTCTGCCAAGTGTGTCCCAGGAGGGGCTCTCAATCGAGGCCCCCGGCCCCGGCCCCTCCCCCTTCCATAGCGTAACTCTGCCCCCTCACCACATGACGCTTCTGTAACACCGAGTAAGTGACTGTGTCGTCCTTGTTTGGAGAAGGACCCTGTGCTCCTGAGGTCTCCGCATCACTGAGAGAGAGAGAAGGCTACACTGAGTTTTCCCCAGCAGCACCCCGACTTCAGTCCCTGGGGGAAAAAATGCCTTGTCTCTTGTGCGCACAGCACCACAATAGCAGCTCATGAAAATGGGTGGTGAACGCATCCTGACGCCCTCAACCTGCACCGCAGCCTGGCTCTGGGCAGCCTGGCCCTGGGCAGCCTGGCCCTGGGCAGCCTGGCCCTGGGCAGCCTGGCCCTGGGCAGCCTGATTCTGGGCAGCCTGGCCCTGGGCAGCCTGGCCCTGGGCAGCCTGGCTCTGGGCAGCCTGGCCCTGGGCAGCCTGGCTCTGGGCAGCCTGGCTCTGGGCAGCCTGGGCAGCCTGGCCCTGGGCAGCCTGGCCCTGGGCAGCCTGGCCGTGGGCAGCCTGGCCCTGGGCAGCCTGGCCCTGGGCAGCCTGGCCTTGGGCAGCCTGGGCAGCCTGACTCTGGGCAGCCTGGGCAGCCTGGCCCTGGGCAGCCTGGCTCTGGGCAGTCTGGGCAGCCTGGCCCTGGGCAGCCTGGCCCTGGGCAGCCTGGCTCTGGGCAGCCTGGCCCTGGGCAGCCTGGCCCTGGGCAGCCTGGCTCTGGACACCCGCTTCTGAAGTAAAGAAACAGTTCCCGTCCAAGGCTGTCACTCACTGCCATGTAAGAACGAGGCAGTGAGCGTGTGGTGGTGCCCGGTGCAAAGAGGGCAGGACGGGACACAAGACTTTCCTCCCACGACCCCCCTGAGTGGCAGGTACCAAACTCCTGTATCCTCCGTACCCGACTCTCGGCGTGTCGGTCTCCGGAAAGCGCAAGATGGCGTAACTAACACTGTCATCCATCGCCGGGTTGTAGCAGCCCTGGGACTGGGGGCCTTCGGAGAGAGGGGTCCTTCTAGTCTGCAAGATGCAAAGTTGCAGCTGTGATTCTCTCCTGACCACTCCCTTCTCCTGGCCTTTGACCCCAACAACTCCCTGAAGGTTTTTGGTTTGTTTGTTGTTTTTTTTCCCCAGCAGGATCTTACAATGTGTAACCCAAGCTGGCCTCAAATTTGCCAGTCCCCTGCCTTATCTCCCGAGCACTGGGATTTCAGATGTTCACATATCCTCAGAGCACGCATGACCCTTTCTCATCTCCTGTCTTCAAGGGCTACTCTAGGTTCACCTTCCTCCCATCTTAACTTTTTTTTTTCTTCAGACAGGGCTTCTCTGTGTAGCTCTGGCTGTCCTGGAATTTGCTCTGTAGACCAGGCTGGCCTCGAACTCACAGAGATCCACCTGCCTCTGCTTCCCAAGTGCTAGGATTAAAAGTGTGCTTTAAGCCACCACCTGGCTCCATCTTACCTTTTTATTCCTTACAAAAAAGCTCTGGCCACTGGAGTTTTCCTGGAGCCCCTGCTGGCTCTGATTCTGTTTCCATCTAAGGATCAAGGGTTTGTGAGGATGGGTAGGGATGACCCAGCAGGCTGAGGGCTGTGGAGAGGGGGAGGGGGGAGGGGCAGCCGACTGCTCACTTTTTCTGCAGTTTCATCCCCCAGATAGCCAGGATGCAGACAGCCAGGCAGAACCCTAGTCCCAAGGCAGCCCTCTTGCCGATGCTCTCTGGGCTATCTGGTGAAGAAAGAGATAATGGTTCACTCTGCTTTGTAAAGATGGCAATGGGCAGAGCATCCTGCCCATCTCCCTTCACAAAGCCTGGTCCTTCTTGTCTGCAGATGTCCTCCACATACGGTGGAGTGATTTGGTGGAGTGATTCAGAGAAAGATGGAGAAGTGGTCCCTGCCTCCTCAGGAGAGAGGGGCCAATTCTTTGTCCCCAGCAAGAGCCATTCCAGAGACAGGTCGAAACAAAGCCTGTGACCCTCGCCTTTGGCACCATGCAACCCTGAGAGCTGTTTGACCAGACAGACCCAGCTCCACACAAGACTTGGTCACACACTTGTCGCTGCAGGTGTGCCCACAGCAGGAGGCTCAGCACCCCTCAACCTTGACGAGGGTGCTAGGGAGATGGGATGGGCTATGGTTATTTGAAAGAAGCAGGGCACCATCTGGGCATGGTGACTCATCTCTGTAATCCCAACACTCAAGAGGCTGAGGCAGGGGAATTGCCTGCAGTTCAAGATCAACCTGGGCTGCATGCCAAGGCCCCTATCTCAAACAAACAAAAAGAGCATGGCTAGGTTTCCTAGGGGAATGAGACAGGGTTGTTTTGGTTTTGAGGCAGTTTTTCTACATAGCCCAGGCCGGCCCTGGTGTTCTGGTGATATTCCCACTTCAGCCTCTCAACGCCTGTGTTCAGCTTCCTTTTTGTGTTTGAAACCTTTTTTTTTTTAAAAAAAAAAAAAAAAAAAAAAAACGCACTTGTATTATCTTGTTTAAAACACTAAAGTATCAAAAGATAAATAAGGATCTTATTCATCAAGGGGGAGATACACACATAGAGGGAAGGAGGGAAGGAAAGAGACAGAGAAAGACAAGGAACATCAAGAGCTTTTGGAAGGTAGGCACAGCCTTTGAGGGAAGGTTCGTGAGGCAGAACAGGGTGACTTTCCAGCCAGGAGCTACTGGTGGCAGGGTGTGCCCTGGCTGAGCTGGACATGCAAGGTGGGGAAGGGGGCTGCCCCGCCAGGACAGAGGAGAGACCCAAGGGACTTACAGTAGACAGTGAGGGTGCTGGGCGGTGACTCGCCCATGCCTAGCTTGTTGATCCCTTGGCAGCGGTAAGAGCCAGTGTGTTGGACCCTCAGGGGCTCCAGGCTCAGCTTCTGGCTGAAGAAGGGGAGGTCTCGGTCGCTGGAATCCAACCAGACATACTGGGAGACGGGCGGGTTGGCATCACCCTCACAGGACAAGATGGCCTTCTTCCCTTCCATTACGCTGTTCCCAGGGCTAATAGACACGCGCAGCCTCCGAGGAGCATCTGCAAAGGGGAAACCGAGTCAGGCCAGGGCTGCCGGTCACCTCATCTTCTTCACACTTAGCCCCCCAGGTCCTGCCACTCACACAGCACTTGGAGGTCCCAGGCCTTCGACGGAGTCTCTCCAATGGAGTTGTTGACCATGCAGTTATACTTTCCAGAATCTTCTGGGGAGATGGAGCTGAAGCTCAGCTCTTTCCCTTCCTGCACAAGACTCCCATTCTTCCTCCACACGATGCGGACCTCTGGGGGGTGGCTCCCGGAGAAGCTGCACTGGAGGATGACATGCTGCCCAGCATGGATCTCTGATGAGGGGCTCACCTTCAGGACCGTCACAGCTCTGGGGGCATCTGCAGGGCCACAGCCTCAGGTGATGTTTTGACTCTCTAGCCTTCTTGATGTCTCCCCAAAATGTCCTGTGTTTGATTAGGACTTCCTAGCCCTTTGTTTAGTGTTTCCTGTGTCATGGGTCAGGACTTCCTGTCTCCTTAGCCCCAGGCCTATGTGCCCTTCTTCAATCCTCTCTCCCCCGGCCTGTGGTCCAGGTTCCCATCCCCCCTTCCACCGCCATATCTCAGTGTGTCCACCTCATGGACACGCCTTGCCCTGTCACTCACAGTGGACATTCAGGCTGACGGGTGCGCCCCACGAACACCCGTGGTTATTACAGGCAGCGCAGCTGATAGGGCTGGAGTCCCATGCAACCTTCTGAATCCTCAGCACTCCACGCGCGGTCTCATCCCCAGAACGAGGGCTCCACAGGTAGGAGGTGACTGCAGGATTGCTGGAGTTGTAGCTACAGGCCAGGGTCACACTGTCTCCTTCCCGAATTGGTGTGGGGTTTTGAATCACTGTGGTTACCTCCTTGGGGGCATCTTAGAGGAGAGCAGAGAGGTGAGAAAGCATGATCATTTGGTTCCCCTTTGCAGTACCAGAGATCAAACCCCTCGCCTTGGAGGGCCTAGGCAAGAGCTGAGCCCCATCTCTAGCCCTACCCTATTTTTCTCTTTAGCCTTTTTATTGTTGGGTTGGGATCCTTGTGTATTTGCACAGGCCAGCCTTGGACTTCTGACCATCCCTCCTTAGCCTCCTGCGCAGCTGAAATGACTGACTTGCACCACCCTGAGCCAGCTGCAAGGCTGGTGTTCATTAAAGCCTTTGCATACTGTCCCCAAATGAAACCTCTCCTGCTTCCCTATTGCGGCTGTGAGGCACAGTGCTATTTAAAGCTGTATGACTGTGGGCTGCAGGCCTCCATCTACCCGTCTGTCAAGTGGGGCACCAAGAGAACCCACCCTTCCAGAATCCTCCCAGAGCACAGATACCCTTAGAGCAGCCAGTGGTGTGTCATAAATAATACACTTTGCTACTGCTCTCCAGCTCTCCAGATGTTCAGAGTGTGGGTGCCCCGCCCGTATGCAAGCCACTCCGGGTCTGACAACCGAGACTGTCTTGGGAGCAACTTGATAACCAGCTGTGCTGTGCTAAGGAATGCCAAACAATGGTGGAATAACTGGACACTCCCTCTGGCTCTCAAATCTTTCAGGACTTGAATCTTCAGGGCCTCAGCTGCTGCCATTGACGCTATGTTTGCGTGTCCCGTGAAGCCCTAGTCTTAGGCAGGGTCTCACATAGCCCAGGTTAGCTTTGAACTTGCTATACAGCCAAGATGACCTTGAGTTTATGATGCTCCTGCCTTATGTCTTGATGCCACCACATGCATTTCTTTTATGCAGTGCTGGGGACTGACATCCACTGAGCCACATCCCCAGTTCTCGCTGAGGCATTCTAGGCAGGTGCTCTACCACTGGGTCAGGCCTCGGATCCCTCACTGGAAGATTCTAGACTAGTGATTGGTTGCGAGCCATGCTGCCACTCCCTTCCTGGTATGTTGTAGGAAAGCATTCTGCTGCTGAGCTGTGTCCCAGGTCCTCTTTCTACTTTTGAGACAGTCTCACTAAATTGCCCAGGCTGACCTTGAACTCAGTCTGGAGCCCAGGCAGTCCTCACATTTGTGATCCTTCTGTCTTAGCTTCCCTAGTAGCTGGGATGACAGATCTGGGCCACCAAGCTGGTGACATCCATTCATTCATTCATTCATTCAACAAGCATCTACTAAGTAATTGCCGTAAGCCAAGGCTGTGGTCTGCACGTCTAGAATGCAGCTGTGAAGCTCAGGTCCCTGGCTGCTTGTCTTCCCCACACCTCCACACCCCCTACACTCTATTGCCTTCCTTCTCTATTTCCCTCTTTCCTCCAAGAACCAGAGGTCAGTTGGCCGCTCACACTGGACATCCAGCTCAGTTTCCTCCTTTATCTTTCCAAGACCCAGGCGGTTCTGTGCCTTGCAAGAGTATTTCCCAGCATGCCTCAGGGAGACTTTAGGAATCCGGAGCTTCTCTTGTGTCTCTCCAAGCACGGGTCTTCCGTTGTGGTACCAGGTATAGTTTGTTGCTTTCGGACTGGCCAGTGACTCACAAATCAGCTCTATTGACTTCCCTTCTTCAGCCGGAGAACTGTAGATGTGAACCCTGGAGGATTCTGGAGCAACTAAAAGAAGCCACAGCAGTGGCAGCGCAGGTGAGCAGAGCCCGCAAACCTGGCCAGGCAGCCACCAGCCTCCACTACCATCCCTGAGGATCCTGATAACTCCCCGCCTCCCTTGCCAGATTCAAGGGAACTCACACAACACCGTAAGGGCCACTTCTTCCGATTGTCCTAGGCCCAGGTCGTTTAAAGCCTGGCAACGGTATTTCCCACTCATGTCCTTGGTCACTGATTGCAGAGGTAGTGTGAGATTCTGTCCCTTCAGGGGCTGCCCATCCTTGACCCAGGACACTGTCCTGTAGTCTGGGTTGCTGCTGATAACCTGGCATGTCACGTTCACAGAGCCACCCTTCATGACCTCTTTGGAAGTGACCTTGATCTTCAGCTTCGGGATGTCTGCAGGAACAGAGGAGCATTGGGAGAGGACAGGGAATTCTCGGCGGCTGTTTTCATTGGGACAGCAGCAGCCTGCACACAATCCTCACTTGTCTCTGTGTTCTCCTTCCTCATGCGCCCTCCCACCTGGTCTCCGCCAGCACCCCGCATCCCCAGCATTGTCCATTAGACACCAACAGCGCAGCTGTCTGCTGGCCTCCAGGAGACACAGTGTCCTACCTCCTCTCTTACCTCGAGAGCGGGCTTGGCCGCTCATCCTCTGGTCCTCGGACACCGTCACCAGTACACTACACTTGCACCTCCACACCTAGTTCTTTGCACTGGTTCTTTCCCTCCCTAGAATCTTCTTTGCCCGCCCTGGCCTCTCTGTCATGTCAGCCAAGGTCCTCACCTTCTCCACAGACGTCTCCATCCATCGGCCCATCCTAAGCCTGCTTTCTTTTGGGGTTTGTGAGCTATTTGCGTGTGCACGTGTGGATTAGGAGCTCGGAGGACAACCTTGGGTGTTGTACTTCAGGAACTGGCCATCTTGATTTTACATTTTTTGAGACAGGGTCTCCCACTGACCTGGAGCTCATCAATTAGACTAGACTGGTTGTCCAGCAAGTCCAAAGGACCCACCCGGATCTGCCTCCCTAGGGCTGAGACAACAAGACCATGCTGCCACATTCAATTTTTGATTTCTTCCTCTTCCTCTTTTTCCTCTTCTTCCTCCTCTCCTCCTCCTCCTCCTTCAACAGGGTTCTCTGTGTATCCCTGGCCATTCTGGAACTCACTCTGTAGCCCAGGCTGGTCTCAAACTCACAGAGCTCCACCTACCTCTGCCTCACGAGTGCTGGGTTTAAAAGTGTGTACCACCGTGCCAGGCTCCACAGTAAATATCCATTGAATGGATGAATGAATGAATGAACGAATGAATGAATGAATGAATGAACAGGCTATAAAGTAATGACAGGAAAATTTCCTTGTATGGAGAACAAAGAAGCCTAACCAGATATCCTCAAAGTATGCTGTGACTTAAGAATTGATTGATTGATGATTGAGTGGTACTGGAGGTTGACTCAGGGTCACACACATGCTAGGCAAGCACTGTACTGCCAGGAAATATCTCCAACACTTAGGGTTTTGAGATAGTGTCCCACTGTGTAGTCCAGGTTGTCCTCAAACTCAAGATCCCCCTGCCTTGGCCTCCTGAATACGCATTTCCAAGCCTATATCTCCACACTCAACTAGATTGCTTTATTTTTTAGGCCAAAACAGAGACTAAAATGAATCTGTGTCTCGAGACACAGGACCGACAGAAGAGACAGTAGAAGAGCCTTGCCACCCCTGTCAAATGACTGACAGCTGAACCTTCTATGGACAGACTCCTCTTACCCTTACTGGGGCTCACCAGGATTTAGGAAGAAGGGGACAAGATGTCCTTCCCACATGGAGACTCACGTTTAACATCCAGAACCACTCTGCTCTCAGAGAGCATTTTCGTAGAGTTCCAGACTTGGCACGTCACAGTCTTTCCGTGGTCCTTCCACTCTGGCTGGAAGGTGAGCTCGCTCTCTGTGTAGACATTTTGTGTAGAATCGGGGGCAGAGGTGATGGAGGTGATGGAGGTGATGGAGGTGATTTCGTGCTCTTCCAGGAACCACTTCAAGTAAATGTGGTACCGAGAGCAGGCAAAATTCAGTCTACAGGTCAGAGTGACACTTTGGGATGCATGGATTTCTGGTGGCATCCGGATGTAAGGTGGGAAGGGTGTCTCTGGAAAAAAAAAAAAAAAGAGCTGGGGTGGGGCATGGGCTAGCCTTCCATCCCTGGCTTCAGGCATCCCGTCCCAGATGACCCCAGAACAATCCCTTGCAAGGTCATTCTACCTCCTTGTTCAGTTCAGCTTCTCTGTGGAAGGCTTTGGGGGCACTAAGCATGCTGGGAAATCGTATTTTACATTTACTTCGCTTCTCACTTCTCCTTCCATTTACTTTCTAAGTGGCCCCAGGGTCACCCAGGGCGGATTTCTCTGGTTTAGTTCTGCATGTGTTGCTAAGCGTTGGTGACATGCTTGTGTTGGTGAGGCCGCCTCAGTATTGGAGTCAGTCAAGCAGACAGCCCTTTAGTGAGGCGATCCTGAGCCCAGGGCTCAGACCTCCACCAGGCTAGACCACCGCACAGACGTGATGTCAAGATGCCTTGCGCTCACAGCTCTAGTGTGGACGGATGATATCGTCGTCTAGGGCGGAGAGCCCAGCTGTCTGATGGGCCGTGTCGGGGCCCTCTGCTCTCGTCATCCGGCCTAAAAGGTTTCCTTAGACTAACGTGCTAAGAGATTTGAAAATCCAAATCTCTATCTTCTTTGGGAAGATATAAAAACAAAACCCTGACGGCCTGGACAACAGATTCCGGGCCAGACACGAGCGGAGGGAGAATGTCTGAGGGAGGACAAATGCTCCTGTTGCCGTCAACATCTCCTATTTGAAAGTGAATAGGAGTGAAAAAAAGAAATAAATAGGAAAGGGCAGGCCTGCTCCTACGTTGGAGGAGAAGGTTTATTGTAGATACGAGGGAAGGCATAACGCATAATCAGAGACATCTGAGAGAGTCCAGAGTGGACATGACCCTGAGCCACAGGAGACAGGGACGGGAAGCGAGAGGGGAGAGAGGGGACCCAGGTGTGGCAGCCAAGAGAGCAAAGGGTAAAGAGGGCGGGTGACCAACATGGCCGGATCACATAGGGGAGAGCCTCTGGGGAAGGGCAGCCTGGCCCCCGGGCTGGAGAGTTGGGGGAGAGGGCGGGGTATGCCAGCCATACTCTGTAGGTGTGACGGATAAAGACTGAGGGATGCTGGAAGAACCTGATGGCCATTTCCAATTTGATGTGTTAAGTAGGCACCTCAGCCACTGGTCCCAGGGTTTGAGACTTAACCGTGAGCAAGGAACTCAGTACTTCACCTCCCTCTTTGACTCTGCCAGCAAGGCGATGTTTCCCCCATACCCTTACTGGAGATATTGAGGTGAAGTTCCTCCATCCACTTGTCACCGCCTGAAATCATCCTCAACCCCAGCTTCCCATTGTCAGTGACCTGTATCTGGTGGATTTCCAGGGAACAGTTATTTTCTCTGTTTCCCCAGAACGTCACCCTTCCTTGCTCGGAAGGAGATGACTCAATCTTGGTGTTATTATAGAGGACATTCCCCTTGAAATCCTTGGTATGATTGTCAAAGTTGTAATTGTGATACAGCAAGACCCCGTCCAGATGACTATTCCAGGCTGGAATTTTGTACTTGCAAGGAATCCAGACGCAGGCTCCTTCCCAGGCGAAGAGGGTTTGGGGATGTTCAACAGTCCATTTCTGTGATGAGCCAACCAAAGCCACGTGTCCTAAAGGCCACAAGACTGGTCAGAAATCGTTACTGAGGGGTGAGAACTTTCACAGGAAACAGGAGAGGGAGACCCCGGGGAGACGAAGGATGACGGAGGAGCATGGCACATCTCTCTCTGCCTCTGAGCAGTTGCCTCCGTTCCCCAGACCTATCCCTGCTCTACCTTGCCCACAGACATCTCCAAACCCAGGTGTCAGCCTGGGCCTTACCTAGAATCAGGAGGAGCCACGGACAGTGGACATGCATGGTGTCTGCTCTGGGTGAGACCTGAGGAAAGAAGAATTAGTCTGCAAACTGGGTGTGCTGGTGTGTGACTATCCCAGCCTTCAGGCAATTGAGGCGGGAGGGTTGCTACAGGTCTGAGGCCAGTCTAGGCTACATTCTGAGGCCCTGTCTCAACAGCCACAAGAACTTGCCTTCGAGTCGTCTGGTTGCTTTTGCTTGTTCAGTCTGAACTCTGATTCTATTTTTTTTTTTTTTCTGATCCTGGGTTGTGGGTGGGGAAGCATACCTACCTGGTTATATGATGGAGATGTGGGATTTGGGGTGCTCATAGAGCTATTTCTGGGTGTACCATACTTCTTCAAGCTGAGACCCTCCTTTGCTTTCTTTTTTCTCTATCCTACGCATTTACTAGTTTTTAATTTTTATTTTATATTATTAGTGTGTGTGTGTGTGTGTGTGTGTGTGTGTGTGTGTGTGTGTGTGATATATGGGACATGTGCAAGCTACAGTGCACATGTGGAGACCAGAGGAGGACGTTGTGGAGAATTCTGGGGAGCTGATTCTTTCCTTCCACCTTTCAGTTGGTCCCAGGAGTCCAGCTCATACGACCAGGCTGGCATAGACCAGGCTGGCATAGACCAGGCTGGCATAGACCAGGCTGGCATAGACCAGGCTGGCATAGACCAGGCTGGCATAGACCAGGCTGGCATAGAGCAGGCTGGCATAGCAAGCGAGTTCTCCCACTGCTTTTACAACCTCTAAAACTCCTTGCCCTGCCTGAGGCTCTGTGGTGCCAGGCTGTTGTATGCCTTGAATGCCAGGCCCTGGTAACAAGGATCTCCCCAGGCTACCAGTGCAAGATCTTACACAGGGACAGACAGAGTGATTTGAAAGACTTGGGGGGCAATCTCCTTAAACCAAATGTTAGCCTACTGATTTAGTCCTGGAATTCCAGCTGCTCCAGAGGCTGAGGCTAAACAGTTGCAAGTTCAAGGTCAGCTTGACTACAAAGCAAGTTCAAGCCTGGTCTAGTCAACTTACTAAGACCTTGTCTCAAAAGAAAAAGTAAAAAGAGGACTGGGGGTGTATCTCTGTGATAGAGGAATCTCCCAGTGAAGCAGCAGACACCTGCCTAGAATCACCCCCACACCGTGAGGGGCTCAGTGGTAGAACACCTGCCTAGAACCCCCAGTGAGGGGCTGGGATGTGGCTCAGAGGTGGAGCCCCTGCCTAGATTCCCCCAGTGAGGGGCTGGGGTGTGGCTCAGTGGTAGAGCCCCTGCCTGTCATCCACCGGTGAGGGGCTGGGGTGTGGCTCAGTGGTAGAGCCCCTGCCTAGAATCCCCCAGTGAGGGGCTGGGGTGGTGTGGCTCAGTGGTAGAGCCCCTGCCTAGAATTCCCCAGTGAGGGCTGGGGTGTGGCTCAGTGGTAGAGCCCCTGCCTAGAACCCCACAGTGAGGGGCTGGGGTGTGGCTCAGTGGTAGAGCCCCTGCCTAGAATCCCCCAGTGAGGGGCTGGGGGTGTGGCTCAGGGGTAGAGCTCCTGCCTAGAATCCCCCAGTGAGGGGCTGGGGGTGTGGCTCAGTGGTGGAGCTTTAGCCTGGGAGGCACAGTCCCCAGGTTTAATCCCTAGTACTATCTCAAGAAGTAAAACTAAGCTCACAGTGAAGTTGGACATGAGGAAAACATTTTGAGGGAGTTAGAAAGCCTTAGAAACAGAGAATGGTCCAAAGCCCCTCCCCCAGCCCCAGGTGCCAATAGGAATCAAGGAAAGATATTCCTTTTCTAACAGCATCAGTCAGTTGTTACCACGTGGGAAAGGGGACCTCCCGTGGTCTAATCATCCACAGTTTTACCATAAGTAAGAAAGCAGGCTATTATGAGAAATGTCTTATTTTATAAACATACATAGGACCAGCCATGGTGGTGTGCACCTAAAATCCAGTACTTGGGAGCCTGAATCTGAGAATATGAGTTTGATGCTAGTCTGGCCTCCCAAGCCAGACTTTGTCTCAAAAAAAAAACAAAACACCAAACCTAAACAACAGAAATATCGAGTGTTGGCCTGACAGAACTTAACCGTGTGTTTAGGTGCCACCGATTTACAACTGATACCCAGTGTGCACTCTCTCTCCTCTCTCTCTCTCCTCTCCCTCTCTCTCTCTCTCTCTCTCTCCCTCTCTCTCTCTCTCTCTCTCTCCCTCTCTCTCTTTTTCTCTCTGTCTCCCTCTCTCTCCCCGCACCCTCTCTCTCACCCTCCACCATCATCACCATCCTACACTTTACATAGAGTTAAATTTAGCTGTCTTGGTGTGGCTGTGACCTGTGTCAGCCCCCAGGGATCTTGCAGGATGTGCCGACTGAGTGTGTCTCCGGTGGCAGCGGCAGTGCAGAGCTGCGCCCCTTCCACTCACCCTACCAACAGCATCAGCACCTCCCCCTCTCCAGCAATTCCCCTCCCAGGCTGTGGGACACAGGTGTGGGGGGGGCTGCTGGGTGAGCAGGAGCAGGTATAGGGAAAGCTAGTCCACTTGCTGAAAGCAGGCTGGCTTCTGTCCCCAGTGTGGGGGTGGCCTGGCCTGGGTGTGTGAGAGGTGAGGAGACAGAGGCTGGGGCAGATCATCCAGGTGCAGGGAATGTGTCGCATGGCCTTATCTTCAAGGTCACAGCCACTTGGGAAAAGCCGAGTTCAACGGGAGGCTTTCCTGTGAGACCTCTCCCACGTTCTAATGAGCTGTGCATGTGACACATGCCGCCAGACATGGAGTAGATTCCCTTACTTCCTAGGCCACGAGTCTATTTTACTCTTTTTCATGAAAAGCTTTGCAGGATTGCAAGCTTGGTTCTGAGGGACACACGTTGAGACACCCTCGGGTTGCTACAAGGGTTGTGGCAGCCATCAGCCCCCAGTTGCCTCTCTGGCAGCACCTCCAGCTACATCCTCAACATGGCTTGGCTGGAGAACTCAGCGTGAACAGAAAGCAGACAGTTCCCAAGCAAAGCTGCCTGCCTACGGGATTTCCGGCAGTCACCGTAGCAGAAGAAGCAGGGACCTGAGCTTGAGGACTGGATGGAGGAGGAGGTAGAGTAGGGTATGGCAGCAGCAGTTACTAAGTCCAGGAACTTAGAATAGGGCCACACTGTCGAGGCCTATGATGCACTCAGCTCAGTCTCTGCTGAGAGCCTCAGAGCTGGCTTCCCGGCCCCACCCTCCCCTCCTGAGCATCCAACAGCTTCTTCCACCTCAGAGGACCCAGAAAATCTGGCAGAGGCGGTGCTGAAAGACAGACAGGGGTCTGTCTGTGCCTCTCGCAAGTTAGATGAAAGAAAATGGCAGGTCCTCATGGCCAGCACACAGAGGACACCCCATATTTGCTTGTTGAGAACAAGAGAAAAGATCAAAATGGCATTTACCTGTCTCCTCCTGCGCGCTATCTCTTCAGGGTCTCCAGCAGCCTCTGAGAGTAAAAGTTAGTGAAGTCTCCCCAGCTTGGCCACACCCCCTTCCTCTCTGTGGCTCAGAGGGCACCAGTAGATAGGGTGATCTGCATCTGCCATCTGTGAGTGGAGAAGAGAGGCCATGATGGAGAACATGGGCTTGGAGTCAAATTGGAAGGGATGTTTGCCTCTGCAGCCAGGTCTTAACTGGTGGATCGTCCATGTCTGATGGGTCTCCTAGCTGGTGTGTCCACGTGTCCCTCTGTGAAAGCCCCAATCGATCGTGACAGCTCCCAGCCGGCTTTCGTTTGTCTTGTTTCTAGCACTGCGATCAACAGCTCCATGGGCTGGGGAGAACCAGAGCTCTGAGGAAGCAAGTTGCCCAATGGGAGTCTTTCCTGCTTGGCATTTATTTGTTTGTTTGTTTGTTTTGGGGTTTTTGAGACAGGGTTTCTCTGTGTAGCTCTGGCTGTTCTGGGACTCACTCTAGTCCAGGCTGTCTTTGAACTCACAGAGATCCACCTGCCTCTTCCTCCTGAGTGCACCACCGTGCCCGGCACTTGATTATTGTTTATTTGGGATGGTATGCAGGCACATGTGTGTGTTTGTGTACTGTGTGTATATATATGTATGTGGTGTGTGTGTTTGTGTATGAGTGTGCTTGTGTGTGTTTGTCTTGTGTGGTGTGTGGTGTGTTTGTGTATTGTGTGTTTGTCTTGTGTGGTGTGTGGTGTGTTTGTGTATTGTGTATGTGTGTGGTGTGTGTGGTGTGTGGTATGTTTGTGTGTTGTGTGTGTTATGTGTGTGTTTGTATTTGTGTGTGTGTGTGTGTGTGTGGTGTGCATGCTTGCACCAGTGCTTATGTAGGGGTCAAAGGACAACTTGTGGCCAGCCCTCTCCTCCCACCTTTATGTGGTTCCAGGGATAAACTGGCCAAGCTTGCCCAGAACCTAGTCACTTGTATCCAGCTTCTTCTGCAGCGGCCACCTACAGGTGACAGGGAACATCGGAGGCAAAGCTGACCTCAGTTTCCCAGGCACAGGGAATGTGTTGCACAAAAAATGTCTTCAAGGTCATGGCGGGTTGGGAAAAGATGAATGCAACAGTTGGGGGTGAGGAGGGATGTATGTCCCCGAGAGCCTCGCAGCCAGCAGGAAAACAAACTGCAAAGAGGCAATAAACATGTGACCGTGAAGATGGGTTCTACAGCTTAAGGGCGGAGCGAGGATCCGGTGTGGTCCCTGTCTGAGATAGCACAGAGGTCAGCAGTATCAAGTACATGTGACATCTCCCCTAAAGACGGGTTCTATTAACTGAGAGGGAGGGAGGGAGAGCATTCTGGGGGATTTGGATGAGGTGTGCCTCTACAGATAGAAAAGGTCACCAGATTATTAATAACATCAACTTCTAGATTTCTGAGTGGAAAGCAGAGGAGAAGCCCCTGTGTGATTAGCATTCCTGGTTTCTCCAGTGTTCTCTGTGAAGACCTACAGACCTCTACTCAACAGGAGCCTTTACTGTGGGACTTCCCCAACTGTCTAATGAACTCTGCATGTGATACATGCCATTAGGTATGGGAGTAGCCTGAGTGTGGCTAGCCACA